AGTCTCAAGACTTTAAAGTTACTAAAGATCGTGTGAATTACTACACAACTGCTTCCGTTTGGAATTAAACTTGCCTAATAAGGACCACCCGTTATTAAGGTTCTGCTATCTCACGTAACTAGCCCCTTCAACGCTTTCTCTCCAAGGTTCTTAACGGTCTAAGTAACTATTTTAAGCATTTTTTTCTGTATCATAATCAGTATACACTGTCAACAACACTCTGAGGATGAGAACAGGATCCTCCTAGTTTTGTGTCTGGATGACGAAACTTTCACTAATGGCGTTGTGGTATGTGCTTCATATACATTTTTGGCAAATGACAGTGTATATTTCCTATAATAATTTACTTATGTACACAAAGGTGATAGGCTAAGCCCGTATGGGGCAAAAACTGAGGAGGGAATAGGAAAATGGGAGAGGAAGGCAAAAACAAGGAGGAGAAGGAGGAAGGGAGGGATTGATTTTAATCATAGACAAAATAAACACATCAGCAGGAATCGCTTTAGACGTGGCGATAATGGAGCTTGGGATAATCTCATCGTCATGGTTGCCTTCGAGGTCACATGAGACGGGAAATTACCCGAGTTAGGGCTCGGTGTTCCGCTTTTAACTTCTCCGCGGAGGCACGCAGCTCTTCTAAGGTCTGAAAGAAATAGTAAGTTCTTCAAGCCCAGGTTTTGTGTAAATTGTTTATTAAAGAGACCAAGTTGCCTCTGAAAATGTGAATAGGTGGCTACAATGATAGATTAAATACTTGCATAAATTTTCCAACGGTTGTCTCATACTCTGTTCGGTATTTGATAAGGCATATCTTCAAAGCTTCAAAAATCAAAAGCTAGTGAAAGCGTTGCTACAGCAACGATATGCTTGGCTTACATGACCACGGTCACCAATACATGCAAGAGTGTATCACCAAGCATTGGCATAAAGTGCCGTGAATGGCCATGCTTCTTTTTGTCCAAGTATGAGCGCGTTGGTTGGAGGAACATATTGTTATTTTTTGCAATGTTTGAGAAAAGTGGTTC